TGCGAAATTATATCAAAAGGTATCATACTAAGCATACTTCTTGTGTGATTACATTCATCAACATATTCTCGCAGCTCTGCGTAGTGTAATCCTGCAATAATCAATATCAAAACAAAAGCTCCAGAGAAAACACCAAGAGCCAATTTGGTTTGAACACCCACTATTGGATCTACTAAATCATCTCCAAGAGAATGTATCTTAGCTGAAATTGCAGAGAGTAGGGTGGAAAACATTACAAGAGTGGAATTGGACAATTTAGTACTGAAGGCAATAGAGTCCATATTCATTACATATTTCTCTAATAATGAATCAAGACCTGTGCAATTAATTGTACCACAACTACTATTACCTTCAAGTAAGAACTTGGCATTGCTTGATATAGAATGTAAAGTTGTTGGATAGTTATGGTTACCATATCTAAAAACGATCCATGAACGTTCAATAGCATTGTTGGAAGAACCCAAACTATTGCTAGATCCATTAATAATCTTGTTTTCTAGTATTAATTGATCCTTATGAAGATTTATCAGTAGGGAAGACATGTAACCAAGCTTTAAAGTTGAGCTTCTAGAACTGAAATCTAAACTGTAAGCTTCATAAAATGTTACTGATAAGGAAGTAACACAAACTAGAAATATTACCAAAAGAACCATCAACAATTTCACTTTGAATGTAAATATTTCAGAGTATGAGCTATTGTCGCACTTCTTATCAGTTTGCTTTTCCAACTCAATATTCAGAATTCCCACAATATCTTTTGGTATTTTTGAAAAGAGACTGATTATCTTTTCTTTGATATTAAGTGTTGCTAGTAATACGATTACAATAACAGTGGCTACTACAAGTAGACCTAACAAAACAGAGTTGACTATTACTGCCTCATCGTATGGGTGATTTACCACTCCATTTGTGAGAGACTGGCAATACTGGTCCATATACCCAGATGTTAATTCATGGTTAAATGAGAGGTACAAATATTCATAATTGCTCTCTAAATTTTGGAAGCTGTTAATATTCCATGAATTTAACTTGTTGACAACTACTTCGATATCGGATATCAAGGAGGCAATTGATACATTTTGCCACTTATAGGATACTCTATTATCAGCAGAAATTGTGGGTACCATGACTGGGAAGTTATTCCCAGAGTAATAGTTTAAAGCATCTCCAGAAAGATGTGAATAGCTTTTAATTTTGCCATCTTCTGTAAGGTGCTTTAAAGCAGTAATTCTTTCATAAAAATTGTTAAAATTATAAGTGGAAGGATCATTTCTAAAATAATAAGCCAATCTAACTTCCCTCAATAGAGAATACGGAACATTAGTGAATTGACAGGCGTGTAAGATTCTTACAAGTTCATCTCCATGAAGAGAAGAGATTACACCAATAATTATTCCAACTGAAATAGCTAGCAGAGCAATGGCATCATAAATCAAAAATAGGAAGGTTAGTTTCATAGTAAACTTGGTATTAATTGCCTCTCTGTACACCTTTTCAGTGTATTCGTGGGCTTGATCATTCACTTGTACCTGTTGGCTCTTTGTTACCTCTGGATTCTGTGTAGACCTGTTCGAAATTGTCGATTTGCTATCCTCACCAGTAGCTTCCTTATTCAAAGAAGGTGATGACTTCTTACTGGTCATTACCTTTCTAAATAAGAAATTATCAAAATATAACGCTCTCTTTTTTGCTAGAACTTGATTTTCAGGATTGGAAACAACTAGCAGGTCATAAATTACCTTTCCTTCCTCAAAAGTTTTGTACATGGCATGAACGATAGCGTTAATTTTGTTTTGATCGTCTTCATTGCTAACAAAGTATTGCCAAAACAATTTTCTGAACATTAGCAATCTATTTTCCACCTTTTGAGCTTGTAGCAGCATAGTACTAAACTCGGTTGTCATTTGATAGCCGTGTCTAACTTCAATTTCCTTAATCTTGGAGTTGATGGTTATTTTCTGAACGAATGATGCTTGTCTTAACGCATATTTCAAAGTATTAATAGAAAATTGAGGATTATCATGAAAGGTTGAAGTATAAATGGCACTCATTATCAAAGTACTTGCAGACATTCTATTCCTTTTGGATGTAGCATATTTTACAAGCTCTTCATCAATTTCTTTATCAAATACTTTAGTTTGAAGAGAGCTCTCAAAT